AATCAGTGGAAGCAACAGTTCCAATAGTAGTTGTTGCATATTCAGATGTTTGTGTTAGCCCAGTACCAGAATCCAAAGTTGATGAAAGGTAATCTGTTTCCTGTGTGACTGTTTCTATTGTGGTAATACTTGCTTCAGAAGATCTAGACTGTTCAGTTGTTTCAAATGTTTCTTGGGAGGTAACTGTTGGTAGAGTGGTTGATGCAACTTCTGATGTTGGTATTTCAGATGTATATTCTACAATTTGGATGAATAAACATAATGTAATGTATCATGAAGGGCAAAATCAAATTGCTTCAGCCAGAATCAGCAAACAGCTCATGGATTTTTTTGTTGCTGATTGCTAGGAATCTTCAAATGTATATATGTACCAGACTTGATAAAAAGTCTTGTCGAACAGACATATTCATAGAAATGATGAGGATTATTTTTCATGTTTGAAACAATATCAGAGAACAGTGATCATATAAATTCATCACTAACATGTATTGAGTTGGGATCATGTAAATTAGAAGGAGAAAACAATAATGAGAACAAAATATATGTTGATGGAAATTGTTGCAATTGAGAAACACTTGTATTGTATGTATGAAGTCAATGTAAATGTCAGTTTGCTAAGGGTAGGTAAACAGACTGTTGATGTTATTTTGCAAAAGAAAATAAAACCAAACATCCGCATGGAAAAAAACTTATTTACCTGTTGAGAAAGGAGCTGTTGGCAAATCAGTGGAAGCAACAGTTTCAATAGTGGATGTTGCATATTCAGATGTTTGTGTTATCCCAGTACCAGAATCCAAAGTGGATGAAAGGTAATCTGTTTCCTGTGTGACTGTTTCTATTGTGGTAATACTTGCTTCAGAAGATCTAGACTGTTCGGTTGTTTCAAATGTTTCTTGGGAGGTAACTGTTGGTAGAGTGGTTGATGCAACTTCTGATGTTGGTATTTCGGATGTATATCCTACAATTTTGATGATCGAACATAATGTAATGTATTATGAAAGGCAAAGTCAAATTGCACTCAGCAATATTAAGAAGCAACTCATGGTATTATTTGATTAAGATCGCTAGAATTTATTTTATGACAATATGTTCAAGAATTAGTAAAAAAGACATGTCAAAGCGACACAGGCATTGAAAAATACGAGGTTTATTTTTATATGTATGAAAACAAGTCTGAGATATTTGAAGATATTTATTCACCACTAACATTTACATAGTTAAGAATATTACCAGAAAAAAAATGATTGAAGCTTTGTAACTTCAACCTTCTTCCCAGAATATTAGTTCAAATGAATCAGACTAACCTGTTACCATAGTTGCATCTGTATCAGGTGATGTCGGAAAGACAGTTTCTTTAGTTGTGACTGCTGTGGATTCTAATTCTGTATGGCCTGTACTAACTGCACGTGATGTATCAGTCAATGGAGTGCTGTCAAAGTACGTTATATAATCATCTGTTGTAGATTCAAGAATTTCTACAAAATAACATAATTTCAATTTTAATTGAGAAGTGACATAGATACTTTATCAGCATATATACACAAAAGAAAGAAAATTTAAAGAAACACAAATGAAATAAATCTACCTTGAACAGATAGAATTTCTGATTCATTGAAGAATCCTGTGTCATCTAAAAATACATCTTCAACATCAGTCTCATTATAAGGTGAGGTGGCGTTAAGATCAATGGTACCCTCAGTAACAAGGCTTCCTTTCCTGTAAAAAGAATGTACAACTTGAATGGTATTATAAACACAACAATAGTGCTGTACAATGACAAATACAACAGAACAATGACAGAAAAACCACGAAACATCGAGTATGCCTCTCCAGACTTAAATATAGCCAATTAGCAAATGCGAATGTATTACTTTTCTGAATGATATTGCACTTGCCAGCCAACAAAGTTTGAAGAAAATGATGAAGAACACAATGCAATGTATGAATACAAACTGTGAAGCCCAGACATGATTTATACCATATCCTGCATTTATTTACTGTAATATATTTACCTGAATCCAGTGACAGCATTGCTAACATAACTATTGCGAATAGTAGAACTTGAAAACAAAAGATTAACCTGTGAATAGATGTTCCAAAAGCGAATTATTTTATATATAATGTTGGTATGTCTGCTGTACATTGAAAGTGGTTTCACATTGGTCAGGTTATTAACAAAACGACTGTCTTTTTATATATAAAGAATTTCAAATGTTTTTCACAATACTCACTTCCTCGTTTAAAAGTATTGCTTTTTTGTAAAATACACATGATTCAGTGTTAAGCAAATCATTGTTCCATGCTTGGTTGTTCATCTTTACTTCATATCTGAATATTCTTCCAAATCCCTTGGTTGGAGTATATGGTTCACAGTCTGTTGTCACTTTTAAAATTGTAGTTCCCTCGGATGATGTTGAAAAGCTCTCTGTAAATGATAAACATTGTTTTATTATCATATTCGTACATTGCAACCAATCGATTGAAACACTTGAAGGGGTATTCTGTCCAGAGAAATAAGATAACTCTTTTGAGAATAAACATGTTCCACTTTCACTTTTGTGAATGTACTTGGTGGAACTATGCAGACAACACATGCTACAATTGGGGACTATAAATCAAAGTGTCAAGATTTATACATTTGAAAGGTCACTCTCACTAGGAAACCCTGAGCTTATAAGCCCCATTTTCTCTCATTTTCCAGAAGCCTGACATGAGGTGGTGAAGGCCGTCTGCAATGTATGAGAGCTCATGTATTAATGAGCTTTAGCGCTGCATGACACTCCAGTGAGCACACCTATGACTGAAAATTACTCGTTAACTCCAGCCAACAGCAGCATCTACGGGTCGAAACTGTGAACTGGTAAAGCTAATGTTGGAAAATTGGAATCGAGGAACACTTTTACTGTATGTGTGAAATTGATGTGAGTGTCAGTGTATTTATAGCTGGAAACCAAACTGTTGCTGTTATATGGCAAATATAATTAATCCAAAACACTGCATGGAAAGACTTATTTACCTGTTGAGAACGTAGCTGTTGGCAAATCAGTGGAAGCAACTCTTTCAATAGTAGTTACATATTCAGATGTTTGAGTTAGCCCAGTACTGGAATCCAATGTGGATGAAAGGTAATCTGTTTCTTGTGTGACTGTGGTAATGGTTGCCTCAGAAGATCTAGATTGTTCTGTTGTTTCAAATGTGGTAACTGTTGGGAAAGTGGTTGATGCAACTTCTGATTATGGTGTTTCAGATGTATATTCTACAATTTGGATGAATAAACATAATGTAATGTATCATGAAAGGGAAAGTCAAATTGCACTCGCCAGTATTAAGAAGCAACTCATGGTATTATTTGATGTAGATTACTAGAATTTAATTAATTGGTAAAAAGACATGCGATGTATCAGTGCGAGTGAGTACCTGTCAGCAGGTCTGTGGTATGATCCGTTACAATTCCAGTTGTTTGCATCTCAGTTGTTTCAAGTATTTCAGTGCCAGATACCAGTGGAGAGGAAGGGAAATCAGTTTCCTGAGTAGTCATGGCCACTGTGGTAATAGTCAGTACATCTGACATCGTTTGATCTGTTGGTTCAAATGTTTCTTGTGTAGAAATTTGTACAAATGTTGATGACTCTGCTTCTGAGGTAGGTGTGTCTGTTGTAATTCCTACAAGTGAGATTTTGAGAATTATTGTAATATGTTATTTGGGAAATGAGAATTGTATTCAATATTGACAGAAAAGTAATAGATAGTTTGGGTTTTCAAAAGATGTTTGTATTCAAATATGACTGAATAATCACATTCCGTGTTAAAGACGTGTATTCAGACATTATCTATTCCTAGAAATTGAGAATTACCTAAGCAAAACCAAAGACCAGTTGTGTGATGTAATATTTAAAACTGGAAATATTTAACACTGAATATGTGTGTAGAACATACTTAAATTTCTTAAAGTTCTACTCTTACTCTGGTAGAGAAAGGAGAAGACATAGTGTAACAGTGAGGAACACGTTGACAACTCGACTATCAAGAACAAGTTACAATATCAAAGAACTCATGGCAGATTGACAGGACACAAATTGAACATTGAGGGACGTGTTGACAACATTAAAACTACAATATCATTGCATTTGTCTATTTGTCAAGTGAGTACCTGTCAGC